ACCTTTTTATCAAAGGGCCATAACTCGACCAAAAATCATTGAACCGGAAAACCCCTGCAATATGCACAAGGACTTGAGCTACAGATCAATCCTGTAAAATTTCATTGAAATTGCATTAGTGGTATAAGAGAAATAGTCCGGACAAACTTTAAAAATAAAAATTATTAAAGGGCCATAACTCTGACAAAATCATTGAACCGGAAAATGCTGACAATATGCACAAATAGACTTGGTACTGATCATTCCTGTAAAGTTTGGATGAAATTGCACCAGTAGTTTATGAGGAGTAGTCCGGACAAGTTTTGTGACGGACGGACGGACAGACGGACGGACAGACGACGGAGAAGTGATCCCTATATGTCGCCACTACTCCGTAGAGGCGACACAAAAATTAGGCAAGGCAGCATTAGTGTTCTTTAGCACTGCACTTCTATCCCATGAGATCCATTTACCTACAGTTTCATGTTGATACCTCTTGTTGTTACAGAGTTATGTCCAGGACAATAAAAGCTGACAACTGGACAAAGCGGCGACTATATGCTTGCCCTTCGGGGAGCATAAAACAATATCCCAAATTTGCATTTTTTTTCAGTACTTGTCAAGCTGCCTATTTATGCAGCAAATGATAATAAACAGGAGAAGGCAAATCTCAAAGGGCAAATATATGTCCTACAATCAAATTGAACTCTGGCAATCAAAAAATGACAATTTTTATTTTTATTCATATTTTTTATTCAACAAGGAAATATACTACAAAGAAATAAATATTCACGAATTTCAAATATACTTCAAACCTTTTCTCAAAATAAGTGCTATGAATTAACAAAACCAATTTCAACTTTCTAATATTTCTACAATGAATGATAAACTGGTAAAAAAAATTAATAAATGGATACAGAAAGAAATTATAGATATAAAAGATGACACCTGACTAAACAAGTGTATCTAAGTGCAATAAACAAGGTTATCTGATTATATTACTAGTTTCCACTTACAGGCCGTTCCAGCTTTGACAAATTACATATACAATGTACACATTTAGTTGAATATACAGTCAGTGGGTACAATCAAATTGAATATCAGTATATATCCATTTAAAACTGGTGTTTACTCTTTTTGCGTTTTAAAAAAAACAAGATATGTTTGTAAAACATGTATGCCCCCTATCAGCAGCCAATTAGTCATGTGATAAGGTTATTATGCATGACTTCTGACCCAGTGATCAAACAATTAATAAGGGTTATCAAGTATCTACTTGTCATGACCTTAACCTTTGACCCCTTGACCCAAAACTCAATAGGGGTCATCTGCTGGTCACGACCAATCATCATACAAAGTTTGAAGTTCCTAGGCCTAAGCGTTTTTAGTTAATTGATCGGAAACCGTTTTAACATACAAGGTCAATGTGACCTTGACCTTTGACCCCTTGACCCCAAAAATCAATAGGTCATCTGCTGGTCATGACCAATCACCATACCATGTTTGAAGTTCCTAGGCCTAAGGGTTCTTTAGTTATTGATCGGAAACCGTTTTTACCTAAGAGGTAAATGTGACCTTGACCTTTAACCCCTTGACCCCAAAATCAATAGGGGTCATCTTCTGATAATGACCAATCACCATATCAAGTTTGAAGTCCGTAGGCCTAAGGGTTCTTTCGTTATTGATCGGAAACCGTTTTTACCTACAAAGTCAATGTGACCTTGACCTTTGACCCCTTAACCCCAAAATCAATAGGGGTCATCTGCTGGTCATGACCAATCACCATACCAAGTTTGAAGTTCCTAGGCCTGAGGGTTCTTTTGTTAATGATCAGAAACCGTTTTTACCGAAGAGGTCCATGTGACCTTGACCTTTGACCCTTTGACCCCAAAATCAATAGGGGTCATCTGCTGATCATGACCAATCACCATACCAAGTTTGAAAGTCCTAGGCCTTAAAGTTCTTTAGTTATTGATCAGAAACCGTTATTGCTTACAAGGTCAATGTGACCTTGACCTTTGACCCCTTGACCCCAAAATCAATAGGGGTCATCTACTGATCATGACCAATCACCATACCAAGTTTGAAGTTCCTAGGCCTTAAAGTTCTTTAGTTATTGATTGGAAACCGTTTTTGCTTACAAGGTCAATGTGACCTTGACCTTTGACCCCTTGACCCAAAATCAATAGGGATCATCTACTGATCATGACCAATCACCATACCAAGTTTGAAGTTCCTAGGCCTTAAGGTTCTTAAGTTATTGATCGGAAACCGTTTTTTGCTTACAAGGTCAATGTGACCTTGACCTTTGACCCTTTGACCCCAAAATCAATAGGGGTCATCTACTGGTCAGGACCAATTCACCATACAAGTTTGAAGTTCCTAGGCCTTAAGGTTCTTTAGTTATTGATCGGAAAAACCGTTTTTTGCTTACAAGGTCAATGTGACCTTGACCTTTGACCCCTTGACCCCAAAATCAATAGGGGTCATCTACTGGTCATGACCAATTCACCATACCAAGTTTGAAGTTCCTAGGCCTAAGGGTTCTTTAGTTATCACTCGGAAACCATTTGGTCTACGGACCGACGGACCAACGGACCGACGGACCGACAAGTGCAAAGCAATATACCCCCTTTTCTTCGAAATGGGGGCATAATTAATTGTACGTTAATGCCCTTACTTTTTTGTATCAAGATATTTTACATCATTTAAAAACTTATTAAATCAACCATCAAAACAAGATCTGTCTGCTGATTTAAACACTCCACTTACAGTAATGTAGAATAAGGGGACATAACTTTGTAAGCTTGGCCAACTTACCAGCCCTTGATAGTGAACAAGTATTTCCTATAACCTGAAGTGAGAAATGAAATTTCTTCAAAGGTAATTTGCCCTTTACTAAAGCATTCAAGTTTTGATGAATTCCAAAATTAATTTAAAGTGATTATCTATTAGTTTTCATGAGGTGAACTTTAAACAAAAAGAAATCCTATGGTGAACTGAGCAAAAATGAATTATATGATTACCTGCCTTTCTGAAATGCATTATACTTTTTGGAATCAGGATAAGAATTTAAAGTGTGTCCCATTGTTACTTTTTGAGAAATTAACCAAGGCAAACAATTTTAAGAAAAAAAGGGGACACAACTATGCAAAATATATCTTTTTTTTATTATCTGCCCTATGGAATAGTGTCATATTTTAAAAAAGAACAAGTATACAAAGTTTAAAGTGAATGGCTTTGATTGTTTCTTTGACAGACATTAAGAATGAGGTAAGCCAGGGCAAAAACCTTAGTTAAAAAAGACATTTATACTTTGCAAAAAATAATTTTAAGATTATCTGCTCTTTTGATATGGCGTCACAAGATGGTGATCATTTATACCCAGTTTGAAGTGAATAACTTTGGTAGTTTCTAAGAAAATTGACCATATAAAAAAGATATGTAAAACAAAGTCATGGCAAAGTTTAGTAAATTTTTGAAGCTAGAAATGGTGGGTTGTGGGATAGGTTTATTCTCCTGCAGCAGAAAAAAACCCAGCTAGGAATAAATCATATTAAAAACAACAGAAAGTTTTTCAAGGATGAATACTAAGAGCATTTTTGAACAAGTATGACAACTGATTAAGTGGAAACAGGAAACATAAAGTTTTGGTATATAATTTTGTACAGTAAAGATGATTTTGAAAAAACCTGATAGGCAAATTAAAAGTCTAAGAATATAGCTATGAAGAACTAACATTTCAGTAATTTCACCAAAATTTTTACAAATGCCTTAAGTTCAACATTAATAATACCGGATATTGCAAACAACAGAACAGATAGGAAAATGTGACAGGAATATATACATGACCAATTAACAAGTAATTACAACACGTGATATCAATTCATACAGTTACAATAGCATAACCTTTAGCCTTACATGTACATAAACAGCACTTTTTAGAAATGTGCAAAATTAAACTTTTTACAATACCAGAAGGTAAAAAATCTTAACAAAATTCTGCATATATCTACAGTATATAAATTATTTAAAGTAAAAAAAAGTGTCAAAGAAAACTAGAACAAAAGCACTGCATATATTTTATAATACTTGTTTAAATTATGCTTCATAGTAATGAAACAAATTCTATGAAAAAAAATACCTACAGTTTTACTGATAGCAAAATTCTAAATGAAGTTTGTAAAAAAACACAAAAATCCTTGACTCAGACTATACTTATAAAAAATAAGTCATAAAACAGTTACAGTATTCAGCAATGCAACTTGTTCTTCATGGTATTAAAGCTTTGTACAATGTATCAATCAAATCAGCCATTCAGTAATTATCATCTATAATCTGGAGTTTTCTGATGGCTTTTTGGGGCGGGGTGGAGGAGTAGGACAACTAACAAGTTTCACCACGACATTCTACCCTTATTTTCACTGGATTATGATACACATACTCCTGCCCAAATAGCATAAAACTTTGTAGTTTATCTATTTTGCAGTATTTTACGTATAGAATAGAATAAATTTTGTACGCAAGCTCAAATGGTACCAAGTTAATAATCTACAAAAAGTATCCCATTTTATTGTAATAACTTTAATTTACATACCTTATTAACAAAAGCTAGAAAAAATTTGTTTGCTATATGTAAAGCTAGTATCCTTATCTTCAAAAACATAGAGTAAAATGAACACTATAAAAGTCTATGGCAATCATTTACTGGGATACAGACAGAAAACTGCTACCAAATTGACTTTTTCATCAAGTTAGCCTGACCAAAAATTATGTTAACATGTCTGTGAATACATATTTTATATTAATTGGCTTTGCAATATTAAATGATATGTTTTTTTCATACACAAAATTTTAAATTGGCATGTGATATTAAATTAGAATTGACCTTTACGATAGACTGTAGACTAAACATACTGTATCACACTAGAGACAGACATCACTGGGGGCTTATTCCTCAGTAAAAGCGTAATTTTAGCTATCAAGTCTCGGTCGTAAACTTGGTCTTTGATTACGATTAGCTAAGGGCCTGATGACCGTTTTACTTCTCTGTCTTTGGTGTGCCCAACCTTGTTGTAAACTTGTCCTCTATCAGCAACCCGACTACGTCTTCTATGTGGAGTTGAAACTTTTTTCTCTGGAGATATGCAGGCCTTTAGCGGCCAATCTCTGTTTAAAATGAAGAAACACAACATCAAATTTTTTCTGATAGAACAAACAAAAATACACCACATAATTATATAGAAAAATAAAAATTACCTAAATCACCTGTGCGTTTGACAAAAATCCTTTCAATAGTGTTACTAATAATATATATGTAATACAGTTTGCAGATAAATAAATTCATTATAGTTTTTGACTCACGGAGTTCTCCAATTCTGAAAAAATCAACTTTGACAAATTATCTGATACACATTCATGACTAAATAAATATTTGGCAAAAAATTCTTTACTTTCAACAGAATGAGAAAAGTGCTGCCTTAATGAAACCTTCTTGAATATCATTGCACAGCTATTCTGTGCTACCCAACTGCTTAACACATCCCTAAGTTTCCCCTGTAAGTGAATAACTTCCTTTCTATTTACATATCAAAATTCATTTCTTTAAGTCTTTACAAAGGACAGAGTTCATAGCTAAATACACTCACAAGTATAATGTAATCATGTGCAAACAGGCCCGGGACTCAAACCTGGTTACCAACATAGTATCACTCTGCAGCTCTTGTAACTGGGCTTCCCAGTCGTCACAATTTTCTCCCCAAAATTCATGAACAATTTTTTTACTCTGACAAACAAATACTTAAAGCCACAAATTTCAATTTTTCAATGTGGTTTTATATTTTTTTTGCGGGGTCTTTTAAGTCTCAGTGCCAATGCTAAGGTCATATTTATGGCAATTTGTTCAGCTTCAATGGTGGAGGAGGACTGCATGTGCCCCCTCTGTTTATTATTTCAGACACAATAAGGCAGCACAATAGAGCCACCGTCCCTCATAAGCTAGCAGTGAGGAGCTTTACTCGGCCATGGATGCCCCTGTCAAATGTATAACACACATACTTGTTATGTTCTTCCACTTCCAGTACCACATTTGAGCAGGACATCCATTTGGACACACCTTGTACACCAATACAACGCTGTATCTCGATCACCTGGACTGGTATAATTGGTCTGTAACAAAGAACATATGTGCATACAGAAAACTATTGCTGTCTCATTGAATAATCTAAATGATACTAGAAATTCTATTGTGGAAGTTGATATAATTTTATTATGTTTTCCTTTTGCTTTTATATATTATGGTGTCTCAAACAAATGACTTATAATTTAGAAAATTCTATATCAAACATGCTTACATCTTGTGTACTCCATTATCATTATGGTTGATGCACCAATCCAAAGCAGTACAGTTTTTAATTTCTTAACTTAAATATATGATGAATTATAAACAAAATTCATAAATACTTTGTCAGTGGAAATGAATTTTCCATATTGCACACAGGACACTTCTCCATACAGGGCCGTCGATCGTTGTTCACATACAGGCAGTCATCACAGATACGATGTTGACACTGCCCTGACACCATATGTAGTTTAGGTCCAAGACATATACAGCAACCAAATCTGAAAAACCAGTAATGAATAATCTGAATGAATGACTCACAAATAAAATGTTGCTTGCTGTCAGAAAATACGTTGTTTTTTATGTCTGAACATAAACAAATTGGAATACCATGACTGTTTTTTAAAAATTTGGTCCTGGCCAAAATCAAATGTATTTTAATTATAAAGATGTATGTAGGATTGCTTGGCAATAATTTCTGACTTCCTGTAAATGATACATCTGATACAAATTCCTTTGCACTGATCAGTAATGACAGTATCATTTTGTTATTGTATAGTTCTTGCATACTGCATAGTTTTAGACTTTCATGTATCACTGACCCACATGTAGATACTTTTTTCTTTTGCATGAAAATTTTTTCATGTGAATAGAAATATGACTGTATAAACTAAGTTTAGTTAATCTCTACATCTTTCAGGGCACTGAGCTGGCTAAGGGCTTACACTTTGAAGTACAAACCACAGTCAAGTCACCAGTCATTACCTTAAAGGGTTAATTTTGAAGAACAAAGTGGTAATAATTTACCTCCATGCAATTTCCATGTAGTTTTAGCCAATGAATTTTGAGGCAAATTATTTAGGTCACTGTATGGCAGCCAATGAGACCAGGGGTTTTTTTTAGGAAAAGGGGAAGACGCTGGACGCTGGTAGGGAGGGGAAAAAATATACGAAAAAAGTGAATTTGGGGAAACTTTATTATGACGTTATTTATACTATATACTTAACTACATAGTAGAGAGTTACAACTATATTTTTTTCCCCTTAAAAACTTTATCATTATGCAAAATATTCTTGCAGTATAACATATTTTCTTTATATGTATGGGTTGGTGAATGGTTTTTATACTTCTATTTTTTATATGAAATTTAATACAGTATAGGTATAATAGTGTATCTGTGACACACTTTAGCTCCATACTAGTCATTTTCATAATAAGAAGTACAAAATATATTACTTTACTAAAAATAACCAAGAAAATGACAATATTTTGATAGCAACTGATTTCCAGAAATAGTACCGTTCAGTACGGGATATAGCCAAGAAAAAAAAATGGCTGCCTCCATGTTGAGACAGTACTTGAAGTTTCCTGCAATGTTTTTGGTTATTTTGAACTACAATTGGTGGTTTATCCTGCATAAAATGAAGAAAAATAATATTTTAAACCATGTAAATATTAAATCTGATCCAGTTTAAAGGAAAAATAGAATTTTTGGGGGAAAAAAACTTGGCTATTTACCGAGGGGAAGACGCCGACTATCGGTGTCAATTTGTTAGTAAAAAAAACCCCTGGAGACAAATTCAAATTAGCTCCCAGCTTTGTCGTATTCAAATGTGCCACACTTTGGAGATGAGAACCGGTCTGGCTGTAGTCGGTTCCCATATTCAAAGCGCGGCTTATTTGAATACGGCAAAGCTGGGGAGCCAATACTGAATTTGTCGAAAGATATTGAAAATTTAGTAAAACAGGGATAATCTTGAAGTTTATTTCGCCTGTTACGTTGTTTCAACGGGGAAGTCAAAGCCCGGGGCCACAAAGCTTGCCCGGCAATAGACTACATGTGCATTGGTGCAAGTTCAAAATTTCTTAAAACCTGAAAGCCCCCAATTTAGCATTATTTTAAATGGTTTTATACAGTGAAACTAAATGAGTGCTTTCAAGAGTATAAAAAACCTAAACTTCATGCAAATGCCTGAAAACTTGTACCAATGCATGTGTATAATTAAAAAGAAATTTTATTTTTTTATAGAATTCGGGTACGTTACGATACCGAAATCAACTTGATTTCGGTAAAGTTACCGAAATCAACTTTTCATTACCGAAATCAACTCGTAAAAACCAACCTAGTTAAAATATTGCTATTATTTCTTCATTATTTGATGAAAAATAGTGAAACAGACTTTCAGTTAAAAAATCTATTGAAAATATTTTATTTTAATGATGTTATTAACAAAAATGTAAATTATTGAGTTACTTCCCTTTGTTCTAAACAACCCGTTATGTGTTTAGCATTACCGAAATCAGTTGTGAAGTTTAAATTATGTTGATTAGTAGATAGTAGATTAGAAAACTCTAGTAGAGCTCTATTTTATAGACATATTTCTGTTTTTAAGTTTCAACCATATCTAAATACTATCAATGTTGAACGGTTTTGTAAAGATCTCACTAGGTTAAGAGTATCATCTCATAGATAGAATCAGGTAGATGGACTAAACCAAATAGTACACCTTTAAAGGTGTCATTTAAATGATAGAAAATGTTTTTCATGTAATGTCTTAGAAGACGAATACCATTTCATACTAGAATGCAATGTATATAATGATTTAAGAAAAAGTCTGATACTGCCATATTACTGCATGTGATTGTCGTGCATAACAATTTTCTAATCAAATCGTATTTTTAAAAATCTATGATCAGACTATAATGGAAAAATATAATACTCTGTAATATGAGTTAAAGATAATTATAAATTTTGTACATGTTTATGTTTTATGAAGAAAAAATATCCAACTTCAACCGGAAGTTTATGATTTTCTATTATAAATTTGAATACAGATATATATAATTCGACTGCTCTAAAAATGTTCCATAAAAATTGTATAATGTATCAGGCAGTAAAATTGGAAATTGGAAAGTTTGTGTCTTTCTTTTATTGAACAGTTAAACTATATATTAACAAATCGCTAACATATGTTATGGCACGGATTTAAATATAAATCCGTGGTTATGGGGACTCTTTATTATAATATTTTTATATTTTAGTCATTTATTTAAATGTTTATTACAAAATAAACCGATGGTTCATTATAATCTTTTATCTTTAACATACATTGTATGTCAACTGTACCTCCTGTCTTAATTACTTCACACCTTACTTAATACAGTAATACACAACATGTCATATATCGTACAAGTTACAACATTTCATAATTGAAATTTGTCAGTATAAAGTGTTCAATTTTTTTCCATCATATAAATATATATCAGTCATTCCATAAATTTATGCTGTTTACAGATATGAAATTTAAAATGCTTTTAAATCGATCAACATAAAATCATGACTAAACACTTTTTCAATAAGTAGAATATTAGTTAAGTATCCGGGACATCAAAAAATTGCATACATCTTTGGAACAACTGATAAGCAATTTGGTAATAATAATATCAAAGCACCTTGTCTCATATACCGAAATGTTTTCTACGGAAACATATAGCGACCACCCCTACATGTTAGTTAAAACAGATCTTTTGACAATTTATTTAATATAAAATTATATTTTTACCAGCTTACTAGATCTGAAATATTTATACTATAAAACTATAAAAAAAGGCAGGGTTCTAGCCAGGCTATTATCGCATGTCGCGTACGACATGCCTTCCGGCATTGAGGTATAATTGCGCCATGCGTTAATTACCCCGACATCCCTTAATTCCCAAAGAAACAGTCGAATAAACAGATCAATATTATTCGTAGAAGACAAGGCACGTGCTGTCTCGCTCTACCTGTCAATCGGTGTCAGCGACTGTATGCGCTCAACCAATGGCAACGTCCGATTTTTTAACGCGTGTAGCGTGGAGCTCTTTAGCCCCGCCCTTTGCTTTTGCGTCGGTCACCGTCTTTGATGTTGATTGAAGTACTTCATGACACGTGAAACATATAAATGACCTTAAAAGTTTTTCACAGGTTAAAAAATCTGTAACATTGAAGCGACAAAGAAAACAATTATCGCTACCCAGGAATGACAAATTAGTGACCAATTTAATAAAGATTATTGACAGTATTGTA